CCCCCCCAAATTTAAGCAAAAAAGTCAAGTGGATTTTATCTTGCATCATACTTACAGAAAATAGCTAAACACGGTAACCATAGTCTGTACTGCGCTTTTTAAGCGGAGCAAATTAATGCACAATGAAAGGGTAACAGAAATAGTAGCACACAACTAAAAGAGTGAGCCGTCCATCATGCCTTGAAATTTAGAGTCATAAAATATTTATAGTGCATCCTACAATAGTTGCCTCACTATTTGATCTAGTTCGCTGACATACAGCATCATAAAAATACAGAAATGTGTGCCTGTTGTTCATGATTTACCACTGATAATACGCCTTAGATCACCTTAATATTAACGTAAACAACTTCTTATATACCGCTTATGCCTCAGGTTATGACTAGTTGTCACCTGTTAAGGGCATTGCTTAATTACATGTTGATTTTCAAAAGATGAAAATGTTTTCACCATAAAATACTGTAAAAATTATGTTAGGAAAGACCAGTGACTTGCAGTTCTTAAATCCTGATCTACTTGCTAGTTTTCAGAAGCGCCTGCAGCAAAACCTAGTTGCCCAGCAACATGTTTAAGATTGGAGTCATTAGAGAATATCCGAGCAGAACTTGGTGCTACACAATCTGAAGAGGGGAAAAAAATAGCTGTAATTCAGAAAACAGCAACTACTGTTTTACGGTTAACTGTAGTGACCACAAAAGGGTAGAAGAAAAAATAACCAGTCTAACAAATGAGTTGCAGTATATTAGTATCGGCTAGTATCCCAACTACATAATTTCAGTTTAAATTGTATCATGCTATTTAATAATAGAACTAACACTTCTAAAGTGTTCATTTACTAATTCCACAAGCAATTCAGGGACCTAAGTATAGTAGTGCTTTCCTCTCTGAAACTTTGAGTGTTCATCCAATTTTTCTTGCTTCCTGTCCTTATTCTGTACCATTTTATCTTAATAGGAAGGAGTTGAGGGAAGGAGAATCCAACAAAACAATGGGAAGAAGGCTGCAATTGTTTGACAGAACCCTCCCACCCCCTCAAACCTTATGATGTAGTTGCAAAGAACCTAAGCTCTACGTTACATCAAGTAATCTCTCTCAAACTTCAGTAGTTAACAACACTACTACTTGAATTTGTTTCAAACAAATGGAGGGAGTGGATAAAAAGTGTTCTTACCCAATTCATAGAGATGACCACCTACATTAACTAATGCAATAAAGTGAAGATCTACTTTTTCATCTATACTTGGTGCCTGCAAGACAAAACAAAAGAAATTGTGTTCACTAAAACTCTTATTGCAATATGATTAATGAAAACATACCATCATAATATGCAAAACACCTTGCCAAGAGAAATCACAAGTGAGAAGCACATTCTGGATCTATACAGAATGGCAGAAGTCACACTGCAGAGCATTTCAGAACATAAAGAAGCTTTCCGAAATGCACAGATCAGTAAGAATCATTTCAGTAAAGTATCTGGAAGTACTTCCAATTATAGCTCTACATAAAAGCTTTATTTTTCATTACTGGATTAGAAGTAGCATCAGCTCAAATATATTAACATTAAAAATACATATTCATATAAATAGCAACTCCTTCACTAACCCATCTCCCATAACAAAGTGATGCAGGGCTGAACTCTGAACCTGTAGTATTTTAAAAACAAAAATATTCACTTGGTCAAAATAATTTTTTCCTCGTAAGCCATGTATAGTACAGTTAACGTGTTCCCCCTTCACAGGCAGTCGAAAAGAAATTTTCACACATCTTAGGTGGGGAGGAAGGAAGATAACCAGAGGTGCCTAGACTGAAATTTCAAAGTGGCATCATACCGAGAAAGGCCTGAAGTGCAGTAACAGCATCAAGTGACATGACATAAAAAATGGTTACAGTTGGTAAAGATATACCTAGCCCAGTACTGTGTTGCCAACTACAGCAAGCAAAAGCTTTTTCAGAAGAATGCAGGGCATGCACAGCATGGTACTCTGCCAGCACACATTCCCAGCGTCCACTAAGCAGTGTTTTTTCAATTTCTGAGCCAAAAGGTGCATCACCACTGTTGTGTTCAATAGCAATTGATGGTCTTACTTCCTCATCATCTGTCCAGTCTGCATCTGAGCCTCAATCCACAATTTAAGATACTGTTTAAGGGAATGGCAAAAAGCACCTCAGTTTTTCTTAAATTATCAAGAATCTGACTTCTGTGAAAATATATTTCATGCAATTTTCTTCCATCTTGTAATTACTGTTAGCCTTATGTGAATTTATTGAAGCACCCCAAAAATCTAAGAATTTGCCAGAAACAGATTAGAGTGTAAAATGAGTTGTAGAACCTTACAGTCACATCATGTTTTCAAGACTGGGTTAAAAGTTTCCTTCTTCCTGATGGTCATGAAAAAAGACTTTAAAAGATGATCTAAATTGAAGAAGTGTAGCAAACAACCAGAACAATAAAGCAAAGGACAAGAAGTCACCGTAAGTCCTTCAATACATCGAGAATGCCAAAGAACACAGCATTACAGAGGAACTGCCAACAGCTTACAGAAATTCTATGTAGCAAGCTCAGAAACAAAAAGAGAGAAAAACAAAAAAAACACACAACCTCCCCTCACTCTCATTTGAGATTCATCTCCATGACCAGTTAAGGCATGAAAGGCATAAATACCCTGTTTCATCTGAACATATACTACCTGGGCTCAAATTGATATTAACTAGATGGGCTCCAAGTATCACTATTTCAGAGGACTTCAAAATGCTCAGGATTTGGTTTTGATCACATTTAGAACAAAATAAAGTTGTCTCTCTGACCATTTTGAGGGTTGTGTTCTTTGCCAGCTTCCAATACACACCTTTTCTATAGAGG